TACTAGTACTAGTACTAGTACTAGTACTAGTACTAGTACTAGTAGTAGTAGTAGTAGTAGTAGTAGTAGTAGTAGGAGAAGGAGTAGGAGTAGGAGTAGGAGTAGGAGTAGGAGTAGGAGTAGGAGTAAGAGGAGGAGGAAAAGGAGATGAGCAGCAGCAGGAGCAGCGATAGCTAGCCCAGCCGTGGGGCAGTAGAGTCGTCGTAGGCTCAAGGAGCAGAAGTTCAGTCACAGTAGCAGCAACGTTGTCCATGCTGTTGCTACTTCAAGCATGGCTCACCCGGCCAACTCTGGGAAGTTCACGACCTTCAGCGCCCGTCCGAACTCGAAGCCCATGCTGACTCAGGTAACTAGACAAGGACGCCAAGTCCAGAGTTTTTGCAGGTAGGAGTGGCTAGGATTCACAGCAACCGTTCCAAGACAGAAATCGTCGGCGCGCTGGGGGTACTTGGACATGACAGGCAAAGTGAGGAGAGGAATATTGTACGGCCCAGTACTGGCACGGCTTCCTCAAGATAACAGGCCTTGACTCGATGCAAAGTTCATGTTTGCTCACAGTGGTGTGGTGGTTCAATCAGGAAACTTCTCACGCAATTGCCGCAGCTGCATGGGACAGAACTGCCCAGCGACTCAGTGTCCTCGTTACTGAGAGTGGCCCCTTACAGTAGACAAAGGACCACACGCAAAGTACGGCACGCGGGCGCGAAACTCCAGCAAAGGCTGTCTACCAGCAGCAGGAAACCTGTATTAGCAGCCATGGAGGAGCAGCAACCTATAAGCCATCACTCCCCCCCGTGACACGTGACACTTGCTAGGAACCTCTGCAGCCGCTGTCTTCCCCGTGCCCGCGCCGCCCGAGAACAGGGCCGTGGTCACCACCGGCCTCGCGTGCGGGGTGCTGGGAGTGTTGAGGAATTCAATCAACTTCGATGGAAAATTGCGAGAGCTTCCTCCAGTATGCAAGATGATGCTAGAGGAGGCCGTGCGACGACATCCATGCTTGGGAAGTCTCTCCTTGAAATCCGATTCTTGCAAGAGCCGAGCATCTTTTTCGCGCCCACGCCGTCGATCTCTGTGAGCAGGTTCATCACCTCGGCAATCGAGGACTTTCAACTGTGAAAAACAGTAAACGCTTCAGAAAACTGATCTCGAGCTCTGGAGCAGGGCATGGATCCCTGGATCCTCTGCAAAACTATGTGCACAAACGAAAATCTGAATAACCCTAAACTCTAAGCCCTTCTTTCACGAGCCCCCGACGCCGTCGCGGGTGCCACCGGCATCGCCCTGAGTGCAGCCACGGGCCACGCCAAAGGAGTTGTTGGGTCCCACTGAATTTCAAGGTTGCATCACGCCGTGTAAAGCGACGGTCGAACCGGCTGCCTTGCTGGTTACCCCAACGGTGCAAGTGACTGGAAGACTTACCGATTGGGGCTGCAACCCTGAAGAGCTCGAAATTGATGAATTGGCCGAACCGGCTGCAAACATCGGAACCGGGAAAAAACACAACAGATTCTGCCCTCTGGCCTCCGCCTTCTTCTCTTCCTCCTCCGCCTTGCGCTTGGCAGCTTCTTCGGCTCGCGCTTTTTCAGCTTCCTCCGTCTTCTTGGCTGCCTGCTGTCGTTTGGCCAGCTGCTCCTGTTTCTTCTTTTCCTCCTTGGCCTGGCGCTTGGCGGCTTCTTTGGCTCGCGCCTTTTCAGCCTCAGCCCTTTTTTGTGCTTCCTCTCGTCGCTTGGCCTTTTGATCCTCTTTCTTCTTTTCGTCCTTGGCCTTGCGCTTAGCAGCTTCCTCTGCGCGAGCCTTCTCCTGAGCCTTCTCGGCTTCCTCCTTCTTCTTTGCCTCCTCCCGCTTCCTGGCCTCGGCCTGCTGTTTTTGAAACTCCTGTTCTGCCTGTCTCTTGGCCTGCGCAGTTCTCACAGAAGCACAAAACGACTCTATTCCGCGATGCTGCGGCAGTTTGCGGCAGCAGGATGAAACAGGTATAGTCTCACGAGGCCCAAATGTTGGCGTCCTTTCACAGGCTGAGGGCTTTGATTATGCAGAAGCTATGAAGGTGCCAGAAGATATGTCTTAGCAAACATAACTTGAAAGCCTGGCCAAACATCAATCAGGCACGGAAGAGTAATTTGCAGCTGTTCAGGGTGAAGGAGTCAAAAAACTGATACTTCCAACGGGATGGAGCTCAGGCTTCATTCTGGTTGACAAGAGACTCAGCGGCACCCGTCTTGCCCTTATTTCGTCGTTCTCAGGTGCAAGATAATGATCTCTCCTTCTCGCTGGTTACCCCAGCGGTGCAACTGACTGGAAGACTTACCGATTGGGGCTGCAATTCTGAAGAGCTCGAAACTGATGAATTGGCCGAACGGGCTGCAACATCGCAACCGGGGAAGAACACAACAGATTCTGCCCTCTGGCCTCCGCCTCCTTCTTCTTCTCTTCCTCCTCCGCCTTGCGCTTGGCAGCTGCTTCGGCTCGGGCCTTTTTGGCCTCCTCCCTTGCCTCTTTCTTCTTTTCCTCCTTGGCCTGCCGCTTAGCGGCTTCCTCTGCGCGAGCCTTTTCGGCTTCCTCCTTCTTCTTTGCCGCAGCCTCGTGCTTGTTCTGCTCCTGCTCTGCCTGTCGCTTGGCCTGCGCAGTTCTCACAGAAGCACAAAACGACTCTATTCCGCGATGCTGCGGCAGTTTGCGGCAGCAGGATGAAACAGGTATAGTCTCACGAGGCCCAAATGCTGGCGTCCTTTCACAGGCTGAGGGCTTTGATTGTGCAGAAGCTATGAAGGTGACAGAAGATATGTCTTAGTAAACACAACTTGAAAGTCTGGCCAAACATCAATCAGGCACGGAAGAGTAATTTGCAGCCGTTCAGGGTGAAGGAATCAAAAAAACGATACTTCGATTGGGATGGAGCTCAGGCTTCATTCTGGTTGACAAGAGACTCAGCGGCACCCGTCTTGCCCTTATTCCGTGCAAGATCGGAGAACCACAACTAAGCGGACTTGACTCGCTCATCCAATGCGGGCTTGCTTTGAACATCCTTCCTGACGCTTTAGAACAGCTGTTGATCTCTGATCGGTAGGTGTTCGTCGAACGGTTAGTCCTGTCTTTTGGTACGCCTCCGTCGCCGATCACGCCACACCACCGTTCACTGGCCATCGGCATTCTTCTCTCCTTCTTGCTGGTTACCCCGACGGTGCTACTTCCTGGAAGACTTACCGATTGGGGCTGCAATTCTGAAGAGCTCGAAACTGATGAATTGGCCGAACGGGCTGCAACATCGCAACCGGGGAAGAACACAACAGATTCTGCCCTCTGGCCTCCGCCTCCTTCTTCTTCTCTTCCTCCTCCGCCTTGTGCTTGGCAAAACAATCAGGACCGTGTGGGATCTTGAAAATTGTCGTCGGGTTGTGGACAAGACTCAGGATTTAGGCTTTCCGGGCTCCCTTGGGTTTGGGGGAGTGCGGAAGCTTGATGTTCTGATCTGAATGCAACGAGGTGAGCCCAAAAGCTCTTCAACTCAAGATCCCTATAGCCCTAAACCCTCAGCCCCTAAATCAAAACCCTAAACTCTGAGATAAGAAATGGCGAAAAGTTTAATGCGAACTCCCTCACAAAACGTGTCCCGAACCCGGCATGACAGCTTCTTGGCATCTGCAGTTGCCTTCTCCTCTGCGGCCTTCCTTGCCTGGCATCGGCAAAATTCGAAACACAGGAGATTCTTGGCCTTCAACGGCCACCAGGCTTCCTACATCAGTGAAGAAATCAGTGCCCATGCCATGGCTGCCTCCGCAGCTGCTTGGTCTGCTCGGGTGTTGTCTTCGCGAGCATGCGTTGGAATCCAATCCACATCGACACCGAGGACAGGAACTCCGATGATATACTCGACATCAACATGGCTGTAAAGGAAAGCACAAAGCATGAGATAAAGCTTGCCACACACGTCGTGCAACAGCACTTGCTAGATTTACCAACTTCTAGTTTCTGCTCCTTCATGCGATTTGCAGCCTGCTTCTTGAAGCGAGTGTACAAAACAGAGGAAGAAAGAGAGCGAGAGAGAGAGAGAGATAGGAAGAGAGAGAGAGAGAGAGGAATAGAGAGAGAGAGAGCTACAGCAAAGGAGAGAGTGAACACAAAAATGGCAGAGTCAGAGTGGGGAATAAATCTGAAGCAAGATGCAGGTCGACAAAAGCACGAAGACCACAAGAAGATTCAGTCTAAAACATGCGCGCACCTATGCTTGTCAAAGTGATAGCGCAAAATAATGCAAACATGCAGAAAACGTACCTCTTGCCATTCCGCTCCTTCGACTCCCCCTCCCACCCTCCACGAAAGCGCGAAGGGCCGAAAGACGACATTGCGAAAAGAAGACACATCTGCCTCCTTTTGGCGGAGGGCTGCTCCAGGCCCGGCCGCTTGGCTGCGCACCTCGGATTCTTCACAGAGGCTTTGGGGCCGATTTTCTCTCAAGACCAAGCCTTTCAGGTGCTATAGCCCAGGGAACATGAAATCCTCAATCTTCAGGGTCGAGATTAACAGTTACTTCCTTGGCTTTGAAAGCCCCCACCCTCCCAAGTTTGAAAACTACCTTTCTGGAAGATTGACGATTGTCTGGGACTTTTTCCAGGGAATCTTCAATCTTCGGGGGGAGGCTTGTCGCAGTTACCCGGCATGATTTCTGGGAGCGCTTCAATCTTCAGACTTCGGTGAAGCGAGTTTTGAGACTCACCTGTTGAGTTTTGAAACTATGCCCTCGAGGCTAGAAAGTCTCTGGGGGAGTCTTGAATCTTAAGAAACGGCAGTTTTGAAACGCGTGTCTTGAGTTTTCAAACTGCCCCCGGAAGATAGAAAACTGCAGTTTTTCCGGAAACAGCCCCAGGTAATCTTCAATCTTACGAGAATGGGAGCTTCAAAGCTTATCTCTTGAGCCTGTTGAGCATTGAAACCCCACACCTGAGGATTCAAGGGTTGCAATTGGCGATGCCAGAATGAGCAAGAGGACCCTTGTTCGTAAGTCAAGTAAACCTTTTTCTTTAAGCCTCACTTGTATATGGTCTGGGCCCAAAGCTTACTCTTTAACCTTATTCGTTTGAGGTTTAAGCCCAGACCTTCTCCCTCAACATTCAAAACCCTATTCGTTTCAGAATTTGGCCCAAACCGTGTTCCTAAATCTTGTGCGATTGGTTAAGGTTCGGAAATCCGGATGCCAAACCCTATTCTTAGTCTTAGACCTTCTTCGCTAGGTCCAAACCTTGTTGCTATGCTAAACCGTATTCGTCAGACCTTTGTTCCAAACCTTACAGGGGACTTAAGCCCAAACGTTGTTCCTAAGCCATATGCAGTTGTCCGTTTAGTTCCTCAACCTTATTCAAGTACGAGTCGGGGCCGAATCTAATCCTTCAATCTTAATCACTGAAGGTCTAGGGCCACGAGCCCACGAACAAATGCAAACCCCACAAGCCCTGAAAACTCGATGCGAAAAGAAGCGTGAGCATCTTGTTCACTTGTTAAGAAGCAAATAAATATGTGTAATACATCTGTATATGTATCTCACACGCGGTCTGAATGCATGTGCACGGCGAAGCAGTGCGACGCGAAGAACATCCGTATGTATATATGCATATATACATGGCATGTATCCGTGCACCCCGACGCGCCATTAAAACTTCTACCGTCTACCACAGAACCTACACCCTGCAGCCCCCGTTAACCCGACCACCCCTAAACCATCATCCGTAATCCCGCCCGTATTATCACCTGCGCAGGCATGGAGCCGGTGCGCAGTAGCAGAGCCCGCACACCTGGCCGACCGGGCACGCGCACTTGGCCCACACAGCCTCAGGCAGTCTGAGGGGGTTCAAGCGACTTAATGTTTCGGGAGCTCTGACTTTCCTTCATGAGGTGGCCCGTGTCATGCCACCGCTACGGGAAGTTATCTTTGAATTTGCCTTCCAAAATGTGTCTGCACATGCACAGTTAAAGTTCAGAGCAATGTTCTTCACAGCTACTCTTTCTGTTTATTTTTCGGTGCTTTCTGGGCTTAGGGTTTAGGGCTAAACTATGGGGTGGGTGAAAAAGGGGGGGTGGGGCAGGGGGATTGGGGGATGAGGGGCTGGACAAAAATATAACTGACCAAACAGGCACTGAGCGATTTGGACTTCGAGGTTTAGGATGTAAGGTATAAGGTCTCCCTAAACTTTTTGGCTCAGAGCTATGTTTGACCCTCTGAAACAGATTCACACCTTAAACAATGTCCATTCACCAGGTCTCCTGGCTTTCGGGCTTAGTCAAGGTCTCGGTGTTGTGGGGCTTAGGCCTGGGCTTTGTAGGGTTTTAAATCAGAGCCTTTTGCCTTCAGGGCTCAAGGCCGAGGTTGTTGCTCGTCTTTTTCGCATCCCGGGCTTTGGGGTCTAAAAGGGGGCTTGTGCTTGGGAGCGCCAGGGCGCAGATGTTTTCTGGATGGTGCGCGTAAGCGCTAAGAGCTCCCCCACACAAGCCAAAGATGATGGGTGCAACCTAACCTTCAAGAGACGCCATCACGTGGAGGGATGCCCAACAGACTAGAGTTGACGGTTTAGGGTTTGTCCTGAGGCGCCGTGACAAGGTCGCACCCGCGATCGTACGTCCACTGCGAGCACTGCTATTACTACTACTATTGCTACTACTTCTACTACTACTACTACTACTACTACTACTACTACTATACTATTACTACTACTACTACTACTACTACTACTACTACTACTACTACTACTACTACCACAGAGAGCCAATATGGACCCTTTCAGAATCCGTGATACAGAGGTGTTTGCAAGTGGGGGGGCCGCC